ATTTTTTTTTTTTTTTTTTTTTTTTTTTTTTTTTTTGGTTTCCTGATTCATTTCTAATTTAATCTCGCTGTTCTAGATTTTAATCGCCCTGTAAGACAGTAGACTGCCAAAAGCATAACTTAGAAGGCAGATAGACCTGAAAACTCGAGTTTCTCCTTTACTGGCTTCTTGTGGTTGGATGAGTTTTTCTGCATCTTTGAGCCTCAGCTTCTTTGCTAATCTCATTTACATAATAACAGCAATGACAATGGTAAATGAAACATACAAAGAGCTTTTTTGCGGGTGGTACTGGGAACTGCACCCAGGACTTTCTCACTGAGCCACTCTCACACAATCCCCATTTTTACTTTTTATTTTGACACGTTATGATTAAGATGCTAACTTGCAATCCTCCCACCTCAGCCTCTGCAAATTTCATAAAACAGTGCCTGGTGCTGAATTGTTGGTCATGAAAAGGTAATCAGCTCAATGTGATGCCAAGATTTCAGTGTTCTCTGGGGACGATGCTGTTCTTGGTTCTTTCCCTTTTCAGGTAACATTCAGAGGCAGACTGCTGCACCTCAGTGCTGCCTGTTCCTCTCCTGCTTTCATTTTTGTGAAGAATATAATTTCCACTTTGGGTCTTGTGACCGTGACCATAGCAGTAGACTGACTGGAGCTTTAAAACACTTGAGGGTTTGGTGGACAGTGTCCTGTCAATTCAGCACAAAAGTACTGGAGAACCCGCCTTGGAATAGATATTCATGTCCCTTAGTCTTAAAAGTCTATCTTATTGTTAACAGACGGCTGTGGCAGCACAAACATCAGCACTGTCTGCTGGGTGAGATGGCAAAATGTTCTGTACATCTTGTCTCGCAGGCAATGTTCCATGGATTCAAATGCAAATGAGTATTGGGCCAGCCTGTACTTATTTGCATTTGCTCTCAGTGAACCTAGTTGTTCCCCCTCAAATTCATATTATGTGCATTTCTAATACTAAAATGATTCTGCCCAAGCAATTTCTTTCCTTTTCCACTCTCTCCATATTAATCTGCTTCTGCAAATCCTCTCTTTCCCAAGCCCCCCTTTTTACGATATTGTTTAGTTTTGCCCTTGCTGCCCAAGTCCTCCCTCGCGGTGATCCCTCCAGCTGATCTGCTCCGGCTTCTTTCTGTAGCCAGCCCACTAAGTGCTTCTCCTTTTCCTGGGAGCTTTTGCAGCTGTTATCATGCTTTGTTCCCTGGCCCCGCCCTCTTGTCCTGGATCCCCTGAAAACACACAGGAGGTAGCCAAGTGTGGACATCCGTAGAAGACCAGGAAAGCTGGATGTTCTCTGAATCAGATGTCAGAACTTTAGGGGCTCAAGCTTTTAGTAAAGCAAACTTCATTAAAGTCTAACTTGTACATTTGACCCTTGAGCAACATGGGTTTGAACTGTGCAGGTCCACGTATATGTGGATTACGTTTTTAAAGAATTGTAACAACTGAAGAGACTTGCAGATGAACCATGCTGCCTACAAATATGAACTTTTAAAGAAAAATATATGTCACGAATGAATAAAATATATGTAGATAATTGTTCTAGTCAATCATTTGCAACCATAAAATGTATACAACTATTTCATAAAAAGTTAAAATTTGTCAAAAATTATGCATATAAAAAGTTATGGATTCTATATGGTACTGTGTGCAGTCAAGAGAGATGTACATAAATAAAAAAGTTGTATTAAATTGTAGCTATAAAAAATTAACTGTAGTTCATGACATGTGTTCTAGTCAGCTTTTTATTACTATGACAAAATACTCAAGCTAATCAACCTAACAGGAGGAAAGGTTTATTTTGACTTACAGTGTCAGAGGTGTTCAGTCCACAGTTGCTTGACCCTGTTGCTTTGGTCCTGGAGGGGCACAGTACATCATAGCAGGAGGAAGTAGCAGAGGTCTGTGTACCTCATTGCAGCTAGGAAGGAAAGAGAAAAATAGGAAGGGACCAAGGTCCCTAGTAACCCCTTCAGTGGTACACCCCAAATGACCTAATATCCTTCCGTGAGATTCCATGTTTTAAAAGTTCCAAGACATCCCAGTAGTACCTGTTACAGTTTGTATCTACATGATCCCCATGATTTCTTGCAGTCAGGGGCAGGGATTTTTGGAAGTGATGGATTATAAAGCTGCTGTGCTCATTGGGATTAGTCCACTGATGAATACATAGCTAAATGTGCTGTTAGGGACTGACGCCTGGTGAGAAGAGGTAGGTCACGAGGGCACATGGCCTGGAAGGGTGTATCTCCTTCCCTCTCCACTCTGCTTCCTGAGTACCATCGGGTGAGCAGCTTTCCTTTGTCAGACCCTTCCACCATGTCATTTTTGCCTGGACCCAGCTAATTGTGCAAGGACTGGAACTTCTAAAACAATCCAAAATGAACTTCTGCTGTAAGTTCTGAGAGTCAGGTATTTTGTCCCAGCAAGGAGAAACCTAAGAGCACCAAAGGCTGAGAAACAAGCCTTCAATACATGGGTCTTGGGGCATATTTCATTTCCAAAGTGTAATAGTGGCCTACTGTAATAATTTTATAGCCACTTCTTGTTGCTGTTGCAGTGAGCTCAAGCCTATCAAATACCTACTGAAAAGGCCCTGTGACACTGATCATCTCTACATGGCAGTTTCTCTTCTCAGTAAGTTGTACATAGCAGTAAAAAGTGGTTCTCGCATTTCTTCTTACTTTTATAATATGTATAACATAAAACATGGATTAATCACCTGTTTATATAACCTGTAAAATTTCTGGTCAACAGCAAGCCAGTCATTAAGTTTTGGAGGAGTCAAAAGTTACATGTGAATTTCTGCCTAGAGGACTGAGTTTTTAACCTCTAAGATTCAGCTGTATTGGAGAGAGTGCATAAAACACACTCAGAGCTCAATGAATTTTCACAACAGGAGCACACATAACTAGACCAAGAAATAGAACAGGAGAATATTACTACAATCCCAGAGCCTCCTCCCCATGTCCCCTTCTAGTCATTATTTCTCTCCTAAGGAGACCCACTATTCTGATTTCTAGACTGTAATTTTGTTCAATACTGAATTTGACATTAATAGAATAATACACTATATGGTTCACTGTTTGACTTCCATTATCTGTGTTTCTGTTCAGTTTCATCTCTGTGAACTATTGTGTTGTATGGATATAATCAGAGTTTGTGTATTCATTCTGCAATAAATAGATTTTGAGATGGGTTTATGCTGGGCCTAGAAATATAACCTAGTACATGTCTTTTGGTGAGTATAAGGACACATTTCTTTTGGACATATGCTTACAATTGTTGTACCTGCCTCATAAAGTAGAACTCATGGCTTTTGATGAGGCCCTTTTGATGATCAAGGGTATTTAGATGGAGTCTGAGGAACTCTCATAATTGAGTAACTTGTGGGACTATAGTTAAATTTTATATTATGGACTAAATTGTGCTCCCCTGAAATTTACAATTTAAAGCTCTAACACCAATATTGCTATTTTTGAGATATTTAGAAACTATATTTCAGGAGGTAAGTAAGATTAAATTAAGTCATATGTGGGTCCTAATCTGATATTGACCTTATAAAAAGAGAAAAGGAGAGAAAATCCCCTCTGCATATGGCCTCAAGAAAGGCCATGTGAGCACACAGCAAGAAGCTATCCTTTTGCAAGGCAGGAAGAGAACCTTCCCCAGAAATCCCCCCAGCTGGAGCTTGATCTAGGACTTTTAGTCCTCGCAGCTGGGAGAAAATAAATTTCTGTTGTTTCAGCCACCAGGCCTGTGAAGTTCTATTATGGTATCCTGAGAAAACTGAAACACTTTGTTCTGTTTTTTAAAATTGTGGTAAAATACAAATAACATAAAATTTACTACCTAACCCATTTTCGGTATGCATTCATGATGTTGCACAATCTATCCACCACCATCCGTTTCCATAACTCCTTTTATCTTGATAAATAGACTCTGTACCCACTAATCAATAACTCCCTACTCTCTTCTCCAAATTACCTGGAAATCATTATTCTATTTTCTATCTCTATGACTTTGACTGCTCTACTTCATTTGTTCTTTGCTGAATGACTCATTTCATTTTTAGCACAATGTCCTCAAGGTTTATCCATGGCATTTATTACATCAGAATTTCCATTTTAAAGTGGAACAAAACAGTGGATTCTATAAGCTACAACAGCTGTGACTGACTCCAGTCCAAGCATCTACCATATCCCCTGGAGAGGGTGGTTGGCTAAATACCATGTTAGGAAGGGGTCAACTGAACCTGAGACTCGGAGCAGCTGTGTGTTGGCTTCATCTCAGGGCTCCCAGTGAGTGGGTGAGGGACAACTGTGGGAGACATTCAGGATCAGGGAGTGAGGGCCTGGCAAGAGACACCAGAGTATTGTAGGCTGAACAACTCAAGCTCCAACCCCACAACCAGAGGCCATGAACTGTGCAGTTGAAAGCACGGAATATTCACTCCATCCTATTCCTTCTGCAGGCTAGGATTATCCAGCACCCACTCTAATCCTCTTGCAGGCTTGTTTGGATCATCCAGCATGGATCTGGGCTCTACTTGCCTCCTTTGTCTACCAGTGATAGGGAAGACAAGCCCTGAACTGAACACTACTAGAAAACTGTAGATTCCAAAAGATAACCACAGGCTTCAAATCACAGAGAAATTTCTCTCTTTGCTTTTCTCCTTTTTTTTCCTTGACTATTAGTTTTTGTTTTTTTATGTGTGAACATTGTTTTAGGTTTTTTTTTTTTCTTTTCTTTTTTTCTTCCTCCTTTTCCTCCTCCCCCTCCCCCCCCTCCTCCACCTTCTCCTTCTTCACCTCCTGTCTTCTACCGTTTCCCAAAACTTGGGTAGTCTTTCTTTGTCCTTCAGCTTTGCTTCTAATCTCATTCTCTTCTTTTATGTCTCTATTTTTTCCTCTTATCCCTTTCAAATTCTCTCTTGTGGGTAAAATTGCTCTATTGAGGGGATATTTATGCTATATAATTTTTAATTTGTTTTAGATTTTGTTATATAACTATAATCTTATAATTTATGGTTAAAGAAGACAAAGTAACAGTTCCCACACTTTGTCATCTTCTAGATTGTGCTTGATGCTGTTGTTATTACTGATCACACTACTTTAGCCAAGGTGACATGTTGTGATCAGTTGCTCTTCCTTGTATGCCAATATTGAAATTGTCTGGGGGTCATAAAATACTGTAGTCCAATACCAAAGAATTGAGCTAGGCTAAACAGGTATTTTTATGACCCCTAGGCAATTTCAATAGGTTATAATAAATTGAAGAGGCAGGATCTTAAAACATATTCAAAAGGCAAATGCAGCTACACCTAGAAGATATCTCTGAAAATTATTCATTTCCTAAGTCTCAATACTAGTAATAAAGCTACATATTACACACAATTTACAAGCAATAACACAGAAAACAAATTTAAAACAATAGAAAATGAGAAGGCACAGAAACAAGATGTAACCCCAGACTTCCAGCTCACCCAAGGTAAATCCAGAGTGCCGTGAGGTGGAAGAAATGAAAAGTCCCCAGCTGAATTTTCTGAAATGGTATTAGTGCAAGTAACAAAGCAGATGAATGAGTCTCTAAAAAAACTGGAAATGATTATACAGATAAATAAAGTGATGATGACTATAATGAAGGACATGGTTAGTGAATCTAGAGTACAGAAAGATTTTTTTTAAAAGAGGAGCTTAGAAAAGTGATGGAAACCCTGAATGCCCAAAATAAGAAAGAATTGGATTCTATGAAAGAGATTCAAACAGATATCAAGGAGATTAAAAAATTCTAGTGAAAGTATACATAACAGAATCAACCAATGTGAGGATATAATATTTAGAAGACAGGCTTGCAGTTACTGATAATCAGATAAAAGATTTCTTAAAAAGAGGCAATACTTCAAACAAGTATCACTCTGATACCAAAACCAAAGAAGGACGCAAACAAAAGAGAACTACATGTCATTCTTCTTATTCAACATAGATGCAAATATCTCCAATAAGATAATGGCAAATAGGATGCCAGCATTATGCTGCCAGAACTATCTCATTATCACGCAGATGCCAGTGCTGCTGGAGCACACTGCAGCATACTCATGGGCCACAGTATTGAATCCACAATACCGTGGTGCTGTGGGGGCCATAAAGGCCATGGTTGTGAGCTCCAGAAGATAGAGCAATACTGAACAACAGAGAGAGGGCCTCTCTGAGGCTTCTCAATGAAAACTGAAGCCCACTGGGAAAGTGAAGAAAATATCTGCAATATATAAATAAAATATCACACTGGACCACCATGATTGGTAAGTTGGTGGGATTAGCACCTGCCATAGAAACCCAGACTTACTTTGGGGGAAGGACAGCTGGAACCTGCAGTAGAACCTTGCAGAGTTCAATCCTGCAAAAGGTCAGGGCCCTCAATTTGGGCCTTACAGCTAGAAATCAGCCTGAATCTTAATGCACTTCAGCTGGCTTGCTGAGACTAGTTGACTAAGATCTGCACTGCACACTGCTGCCTACATTGTCTACCAGGACAGAAGAGACATTCCCTGAGGGAGGCCATTTTAAAATATATATATATATTTTTTTCTTTTCTTTTCTCTCTCTCTCTTCTTGTTCTGCATTTCTCTCCTTCTTTGTTCCTGTTCCTGTCCTATTTCAGATTTTTTTTCTCTCTTTCCTTCTCAACTGTCAGTATTCTTATAGGAAGGAGAATACAGTTTCTAGCTTCCCTATTGCTGTTAGTTTGTTTTGTTCTTGTCTTTGTTCCTTCACTCTGTATTTTCCTCTTGTCTTCAACAGTTTCCCAAAATTTGTGTGATCTTCTTGTGTCCTCTAGCCTCAGTTCTAACCTTTTCCTCTTCTATCTCTCTATTCCTCCCTCCCCAACTCCTTCTAAATCTTTATCTGAAAAGGTAAATTTGCTATATTGAAGGGTATATTTACTACAAACATATTTTGGGCTGGTCATCAATTTTGATCTAACTTGTAGTTAAAGGTAACAGATTAACTGCTATCACAAATTATCATTTTCTAAGTTGTGTTTGATGCTATTGTTGATGCTGATTGTATCAGTTGGGCTAAGGTGTCATGATTGATCTAATCAGTTGTCCTCCCTGGTATACTGAAAATGAGATTGCCTAAGAGTCATTAGGAACTCAAAGCCTAAAGACTAGCTATACCTGGAAGACACTTCTGAGATGAAATCATTTCATAAGGGTTCTAACTACAAACAATAAAGACATGCATGATAAGCAATATTGAAGTATCAGCCCAGGAATTAAACAAAAGAAAAATTATCAACTACAAAAAATAGAAATGAGAAGACACCTAAACAAGGAGCAAACACAGCCTTACAGCTCACCAAAGGCAAATTCTTTGGAAAATAAGGTGGAAAAATCTGATAATCAACCAGAACCCCTGGACACCCTAAACTGATAGCACAGGAAATAATAAAACAGATGAATGAGGCTATAGAAAAATTCAAAACAGAAATAATTTCCCAGATATCTAAAAAGATGGTGAGAAGAATGAAAGACATTAGAAACTCTAGAACAGAAACAGATGAGCTCAGGACCATGATGGAAGCCATGAATGCCCAGCAGAGAGGAAAGAAATGGAAACCATGAAGGCCCAACA